AAATGATTTTATACTGTTGTCTCAGGTCCACTTATGACGTTCGCGTGGTTTTTACATTCAAAAACATCAAAATCAATAAGTAATAGCTATTTTCTACCCTGGTTTTGAGGCCGGCTGGAGAAACGTTAGGTTTTTATGGGCGTGCCGCATTGGAGACTTTGAAGTAAACGCCCACTGCTATGATTGGATAATAGTTTTGCATAGTAAACTACCTTTTGTGTGTCTGTTTGACAAGCTATGTCCTTCATAGTTCCACAATACAGTCATGGTCAAATGTTTTGGCAGTGACATAAATTGTGTTTTGAAAAGTTTGCTGCTTCAGTATTTGTACATTATTTTTCCACAAGTTTCTATGGTATACTGAAAAACAATGATAAGCATACCATAAGTTTTAAAGGCTTTTATTGGCAAAAACATATAATGAGTCAATATTTACAGTGTTGTCCCTTGTTCTTCATTACCTCTGCAATTCGGATTGAGATCCGGGGAGTTACCTGGCCATGGATCCAAAATTTCAATGTAACGATCTTCGAGCCACCTCTTCATCACTCTTGCTTTGTGACATGGTGCTCCACCATGCTGGAAAATGCACGGATCATCACCAAATTGCTCATGGATCGTTGGAAGAAGTCTCTCTTGCAGGACGTTTTGATACCATTCTTTATTCATAGCAGTGTTTTTGGGCAGAATTATGAGAGCCCACTCCCTTGGTTGAAAAGCAACCCCACACATTGATTGTCTCAGGATGCTTCACTGTTGGCACAACACAGGAATCATGGCGTTCACCTTTTCTTTACCGAACAATCAATTTTCCAGATGTCCCAAACAGTCAGAAGGGAGCTTCATCAAAGAAAATAAATTTGCACCAGTCTTCTGCTGTCCAATCCTTGTGCTTCCTGCAGAAATTCAGTCTGTCCTTGACGTTTTTCTTGTGGAGAAGTGGCTTCTTTGCTGCCCTTCTTGACGCCAGGCTGTTGTCCAAAAGTCTTGGCCTCACTATGTGTGCAGATGCTCTCACACCAACCTGCTGCCATTCCTGAGCAAGCTCTGCACTGCTGGTGACACGTTTCCGTAGCTGACTCCTCAGGAGGAGATGGTTCTGGTGCTTGCTGGACACTCTAGAACGTCCTGAAGGCTTCTTCACTGCAGTCGAACCTCTCTCCTTGAAGTTCTTGATGATCCGGTAAATGGTTCTTTCAGGTGCAATATTCTTTGTAGCAATTTCCTTGCATGTGAGGCCATTTTGATGCAAAGCGATGATGGCTTTTCTTGGAGAGAAGTGGCTTCTTTGCTGCCCTTCTTGACATCAGGCCGTGGTCCAAAAGTCTTGGCCTCACTGTGCGTGCAGGTGCTCTCACACCAACCTGCTGCCATTCCTGAGCAAGCTCTGCACTGCTGGTGACACGTTTCCGTAGCTGACTCCTCAGGAGGAGATGGTTCTGGTGCTTGCTGGACACTCTAGAACGTCCTGAAGGCTTCTTCACTGCAGTCGAACCTCTCTCCTTGAAGTTCTTGATGATCCGGTAAATGGTTCTTTCAGGTGCAATATTCTTTGTAGCAATTTCCTTGCATGTGAGGCCATTTTGATGCAAAGCGATGATGGCTGCACATGTTTCTTTGGAGGTAACCATTGCTAACAAGACAACAATGATTGGAAGTGCTTCTTCCCTCCTTTTATAGCAATCAGTCTGCTCTTACAATCTAATTAGTATGATAGTGATTTCACCTGACTAGTACTCATTTACACTTTCACATGTGCTGCCGAGTGCTCATATCATTAGTCAATTAATGGTAGCTGGTCATTTTGAGTCAGGATAAAAAAAAAAACAGTGATTTTTTTTGTGTGTGAAAAGTTCATTTTTTTGGCCAATGAAGCTTTTAGTATTTATTTAAAATGCATCTGATCACTCTACACAATAATCTAGAAACAATGTGAATGAACACCACAACAGCTTAAGCAGCAAACTTTGCAAAACACAACATTTATGTCACTGCCAAAACTTTTGGCCATGACTGTAGTTGGAGCCTTCTGTGACTTTGGTTTGACATGTACACATAATCATGACATGTCAAGCGATGTCTAACAAAGCAATAGTGACACATGGTACAAATATTTTTTACTCACATAAGTGTGCTGCGCCATTCCTGTCGGATCCAATATAGATGGCACAGCATTGCTTTTTAATCTTAGTCTCTGCAAATCCAGCATCCACCTGTGTCTTGTTTACAAAGGAATCCTGTTGTGTAATTTTATTGAAGTATTATGTGAAAATGAAAGTAATCAATATATAAGTTAATATGCTGAATTATGTTAACCCTGGATGTCATAGAACGAATAATAGTCTTTTCATTAGACAGTGAACCTTTCATTAGACAGTACACCAGTGAGCTTGAAATAATGTAACATTATTATGAACACGTATAATGTTTTTTTCTTTCATTAGACAATGGACCTTTCAGTAGACAGCAGACGTAAACATGAAATAATCTAATATTATCAGGAACAGGTGGATGGATGTGACGCACACATCTCGTATGACCACATTACCAACCAATGGAAGGTGGCAAAACAAAAGCAAGTAGATAAATTTGACACACATCTAGTATGACCACACTACCAACCAATTAGAAAACAAGGCCAAAAGAGTTGGAAACAATTGTGGCAAATCAGGTATCTATAACCAATAAAAAGTAACCGGAACAAAGAAAAAACAGAAAATGACCAAATTTGGAGAGAACAAGGGGTATAATAACATGAGCTGACGAAACAAAGACTTTGGAATGATTTGGAATGATGTGACTGTCTTCCCGGCTTTGTTTCTTTGTTAAATAAAGTCTTATTTTGACATCTGTAACTCTGCTCCTCCACTTCATTGGCCGCACCCAAGAAAAATCCACAACAATCCACGGTGAAATGAAGCGAACAAATGGTCAATGTTTTACTCGCGTGCGCTGAAACTTCATTAAAAATAAAGTTCAACCACGCATTCCTAATATTTGAGGAAGGTTATGCAGCGACTGGGTTCTTCCACAACTAGGCACTCCACAATATTTTGCGATCTTCAATGGCATGTTTATTGCTTGGTTGCTCGATCCGGTTTTGCACCACTTACGTTATTTCCCTACTATTGCTGCGTCCCAATGTGCCTACTTATACTACGCACTTAAAGCATGTACTCTTTTGGTGAAGAAAAAGTACACACTTTTGAGTGTGTACTAGAAGAGTAGGCAAGCTTTGGGACATACTATAACGTCATACAATTGCGTCTTTAACGGTCCGCTCTGTCGCATAATTACACACATCCCGTCACTGTAAACTGGCCTGTCAATCATCATGTCACAGTTAACATTCTCCACATTTTATTTCATTTAACTTCCTATCGTATTGGAGAGAAATTAAGTAGCGTGTTGATCTGCCAGCCGTGGGTCTTTATGCGGAGAACTCTGCTCATATTTTTTGCATAATGATGCATTTAAAAGTTAATGGCCAAATGGATGTTTATAAAAGTTCACATAGTTGTTGTAGATGAAATATCCTAACACAGATAACATTAAATAAAAATTTTTAACAGGTTAAATGTTGATAATTAGTAACTCAAACCCCTTTATCTAAACCTCTCTACTTAACCGTTGGTCACACACAACCGCCATGTTTGTAGTTTTTAACGCGTTTTATTCGTCTTTGTAGTTCTGAACCGAATCATTCGTCAAAGCGCAATGGATTGTGGGTAGTATTAGCCATCTGAGTGCGCACAGATCCACACTTCAAAAATCTACCTGAAATAGTAGACCATCTGGGGACTTCTGGCATACTCTTTTCAACATACTATGCTTTGCGACACACTTACTTTAATCTCGCATACTATTTAGGATGGATAGTATGAACATTGGGACGCAGGGCATGTCATGCAAGAATCAGTGGGCGGGGCTACAGAATTGGCATTGATATTCTTCTGTGGAGGTGGTGTTTAACCCATCTATTAGGCACATTCTAGGATCTGGCATTCGCTGGGCCTGGTTTCAATAAAAGCTTTTATTTCAGTAACCAGGAAGATTTCAGTTCTGAAACTTACAGGATATTCTTTTAGTATGATGACTTCTTGTATATCAAAAGCTCTAGTAAAAGTTGATTTCTCAATTCATGACACCTTTAAATTCTTGAGCTTGTTGTAGCAGGATTGATTCAGATTGGGTGTCAATGTTTTTCTGAAAGTGATTCCAATGATATCGTTTCTTTGTGCCTTTATTGTTATAGCTGTGGTGTAGACTCTGCTATTCTTTAAAGAGGTCATATGATGCGATTTCAAGTTTTCCTTTCTCTTTGGAGTGTTACAAGCTGATTGTGCATAGGTAAGATCCCTGAAGTTGCAAAGACTAAAGTCTCAAAACCAAAGAGATATTCTTTATCAAAGTTAAGACTCTGCCACGCCCCCCCTAAAACGGCTCGTTCTAACACGCCCCCACATATCTACCTCACTATGTGGAAATATTTGCATAATGCCGCCCAAATGTGCGCGCAAAGAAAAAAGGCGTGGTTTCAGTAACCGCAGCCTTTACATTTATTTTGAAAGATGAAGCTGGCGATTATGGTAAGGGTGCATAATCCTATGGTAAGGATTATGGTACATTTCCGACGAGTGCTTGCGGTGTTCGGCCAATCACAATGCACTGGGTCAGCTGGCCAATCAGAGCAGACTGCGCTTGTCGGAAGGAGGGACTTTGTAGAAAACTAAGCGTTTGAGAGAGGCGGGGCATAGAGGACCTACAATAATGTACAGTATTTGAAAAATAATGTGGTTTTTGAACATTAAAGCATGTCAACATATTCTGTTACACCAAATACACAAAATAATGATCTTAAAAAAAGCATCATATGACCCCTTTAATATTGAGAATGATTTTTAGAACTGTATCTTTATCTTTATAGTTATCGTCCTTGGTGTGAACAGGCCTTTAGTGAGGTTTCCCCATAGAGAGAAAAACGCCATTTTTAAAATTCATTGAACAAAACGGTGCTCTGCTTTATTGGGTCAAAATAAGGTACTGCATTTAATGCTTTGCTTTCAAATGTAGAATAACAATCAAAACAGTGAGATCTATAATATAACAATGGAATGCTTCTTTTCTTTTCATGGCATCAGATAGTCAAAAATCAAAGTGCTACACTCACCTGAACACTTTCAATTTAAAAAGAAGTGCTTGCATGTCTACAGACAACAACTGAGAATTCTGATTGTCTTGTAATTCTTTTATAATCAATACTAATGTTAACTGTATCACTGGGATGTAAATGCAACTAAATATCCTTAAATCGCTTTGATAGTTATCGGAAGGTTTAAAATTGTGGTCCCCAAAAAAATGATCAGTGTGCTGTTTAACTATATTGACCTTATAATCAAAGCAGTTGGTGATGCACCTTATGATGCTTTACCAAGACACAATCTTGTTAGTTTCACTCCTTGTTTCCCCATTTGGCCATCTTGTTGTTCACAGGTGTTTTCATGAATTTGTTTGACTTCATGTATTCTGCAATCTTCTCAAGACTCTGACAGGGAACACAATTCATATCAGTCACAATATGGTTCATCTTTTAACATTACAACTTAGGTGAGACTATCAAATCATTCTGTGACAAAAGCTGAATCCAAACCTCAAAGTGATCCAGAAAACATCTTAGGTTTTTGTAGTCATCCAGGCACTCTGGGTCAAACATACGATGCTGATCCAACAGCTCATACATGATGAAGTCCACAAATGTGATCTACAGGATGAGACAGTGGGATGAGTGTCAAACTAATAATTTTGTTAGATATACTGTTATATCCTGCCACTTGAAATGGACAAAATAAAGTGCTTCCAAACATTATGCCTATTTACCTTGTCCCCAGCAAACCACTTCCTGTCACCAAGGAAGTCAGAGAACTGCTTTAGAGTTCCTGGTAGTTTCTCAGTGTAGCATGATTTGTTTTTGTCCTGTAATCAAAGAAAAATTAATTACAAATAATTTGTGTTGTCAATTAACAAGTAAATTAATATTATTAGTTGCAAATCTATTCATTGCTGTAATACATATTATAGAATCAATCACTCACAAAGTCTCCATAGCAGAGCTGGACAAAACCATTACGGAAATCCATTGCCTGGTTTTCCAAGATGTCAACTCTCACCTGCGCTTCTTCCGTTTCCCCACCTAGAAACACATTAGAAAGAGAAGTCTAACATTACTTGGATGGCTATTTTCAGTGATGCTTGAGATATTAAAATAATGTTTTTTTTGTTTTTTTAAATGAAGAAATAAATGAATCAAGTACTCACAGAGGTTGTGCTTGCGGGCGATGTATCTCATTATGGCATTGCTTTGGACTACTTTCGCGTCTCCATCCTCTAGATAGGGCAACTGGTGAAGGATAATGGTGGTTAGTTATTGCATGTTAGGCTGAACAGTACTATGAGGGTAACTATGTAACTTACATTAGGAAAGTCCATCCCAAGTTTGTCTTTCTCATTAAACCAACAGCTTTTGTCATAGTTGGGAGCTGCAAGGCAAGAATATAAAATCAACTCAATGTGCTTTTATATGGACAATCTGACTATGTTTGCTGCTGTATGTTACAATGATCATCACTTACCCTCACCACAAGAATAGAACTTCTCCTCATACTTAGCACCAGTGTATTCCAACAGCAGACGGATTGGTTGAGCAAGCTGTAATCAGATGAAATGATATCCATAATGCTGTATAAATAATTCCAGCTGCTGTAAAATGTTTTTCACTGTGAAATGATTAACCGAGGGTTGATATCTCACACAGCATATTTATAAACCCACAGGTTAATGTTCTTATTTTCATATTTATGAGGTGAATAAAACTGATTGGACTAATAACAGAACCCAACCCGTTTAAAAATTTCACATTTTGTTATTTTTAGAATTTTTTACTTCAACTGAATAGTACAAAACTTGGTAAAGGTTTTCACACTTGCTATGTGAACACACACACAAAAATGGATATGATTCGAAAACATTAAAAGGTCCTGGAAAAAAAGTCCCACTTGTATTGGAAATTGATGGGAAGCAAATTTAATCTAGTGGAAACGTTTTGTACTGTGCCCAAACAAAATATTACTGAAAGCTCATTTTTTGAGATATCAAACTCAAATTTGGAACACAACTTGTTTAGATTTATGGATTTTATTTCCATGCAGTTTCAGAGTATGACATGTTTTGGAAAATATATATTTCATATAATATGTTAAAAAGTATTTTTTTATTTATAAGTCTATGCTTTTTTATTTTTAAGTCTATGCTCAAAAAGTGTTTAACAGGTAATAATTGGATACATAACCATTCCATAAATATAATTTAGTACCATAAAATCCCCTAAAACGCAAAATATTAAACATTATCTATCTAAAATCCTGTACATTCATTTCCCTGAAATAAAAAAATCACTAATTTTTGACCGCCACGCGAGCAGCACCAGAGGGTTAAAGGTATAGTTCACCCCAAAATTAAAATTCTGTCATTAATTACTCACCCTCATGTCGTTCCTAACCCGTAAGACCTTCGTTTATCTTCGGAACACAAATTAAGATATTTTTTTATCAAATCCAAGAGCTTTCTGACCCTGCATAGACAGCAACGCAACCGAAATGTTCTCAGACCCAGAAATGTAGTAAGGACATCGGTAAAACAGTCCATGTGACATCAGTGGTTCAACCGTAATTTTGCAAAGCTGCAAGAATACTTTTTGTGTGCAAAGAAAACAAAAATAACAACTTTATTCAACAATTCTTCTCCCCCGAATTACCGTCTTCTGCCATTTTGGAGAGTACCATGAAGCATGCACGCGCTTTCCCTGAACATAACCAAGGCGCAGCGCATACTTTTTGTGCGCAAAAAAAACGTTATTCAACAATTCTTCTCCAAAGAATTTTCACAAAATGTATTCTTGCAGCTTCGCAAAATTACGGTTGAACCACTGATGTCACATGGACTGTTTTACCGATGTCCTTACTACATTTCTGGGTCTGAGAACGTTTCAGTTGCGTTGCTGTCTATGCAGGGCCCGAAAGCTCTCGGATTTCATCAAAAATATCTTAATTTGTGTTCCGAAGATGAACGAAGGTTTGGAACGACATGAGGGTGAGTAATTAATGACAGAATTTTCATTTTGGGGTGAACTATCCCTTTAATAACTACTCTTATAGCTGTGGAAACGCTGCCACATAGAGGTGTTGAAGTTGCCTTCTGAAACATACAGTAAAAATAATATCATCTTAAACACTTCAGTTTACGCGCTTGATGTTCGACATTTTTACCGGTTTCCGTCAGAGGGACGAGGAGACGAAACAAGGATGTTCTGCGACTTTAGAAAGCCTAGGACTCTTTAATAAGGTAACGTTAAGCACCGAGGCAGTTTATGACAACTCGCCGTAACGTTCTGGCAAAATGGCCTTAAACCAGCTCTCAAGCACGTTTTTATAACCCAAAGTTAAAATCGTCTTTAACACAGTGTTTAATGTAGCTCCTATGAACTTAAAGAATACAGCAAGTGTTTCGTCGTAATTTTGCATATTGCACACCCGAAGCGGCTGTAGATAAACATAACTGACATATAATAATTAGGCTTATAACTTAGTAAAGTGTGGGCTTTGCGAGCAGCTAAACGACAAAAAGCTATTATTAACTCCTATGAATCACTCCTGACTAGGAGTGAACGATTTTTAGCTATACGTTAAAGACGTTATCGTCTATAAAATATCCACAGGAGAAAAAAAGCAGTTTGCATGTTTCAGCTCAGTGTCACATCAGACGACCGTTATATCTAAACCAGTAACGTTAAGTTATCAAACTCTGCCGACTAGTTCATTTCTCTCGACTTATCGTTAACCAAAGATGAGAATTTAAAGCTGAGCGTATGAATTGTTGACCGTTTTTAGACACGGCAAACCACACTGACTGCGACTCTGTTCTTCTGCGATGACTGCACGACGAAGCTATGAAAAACATTTCGCAGAAATCAAATATGAATACATTTAATTTCGAACTATGCAAAATTATTATAAAAACAGGTATGCAACAATTACGTCTGTTTCTTACCCCGCGTATATCCCAGTATGCCAATTTCATTGCCATCTTGCAAAAAGAGTAACAGTCAGTGTTGCCAACTAATTTTCAGAGAAAGTTGGAAAGGATGGTCGATTTGTTGTAGTGATGTCCGGTTCGCGAACGAATCGTTCGATTTAACCGGTTCTTCTTAGTGAACCGGTTGAACCAATTCACCAAATCGGACTGAATCATTTGAAACGGTTCGAGTCTCCATTAAGCATTAATCCACAAATTACTTAAGTTATTCACTTTTTTAACATGGCTGACACTCCCTCTGAGTCGAAATAAACCAATATCCCGGAGTAATTTATTTACTCAAACAGTACACTGACTGAACTGCTGTGAAGAGAGAACTGAAGATGAACACGAGCAGAGCAGCCGGATAACGAACATACAAGCCCACTGCTGGAGCGGTTCTCGTTCTCGAGTCAAGAACCGGTTGCATCGGTTTTAGGATCACCAGTTCACTGAACCTAGAACCGTTTCTTTCGGACACGTCCGATTTGAGAACCGATGAGCTGATGATACTGCGCATGCGCGATTCAGCGTGAAG